TATTTACTTTCTTTGTGCTAACTGAGCTAGAAAAGTAAAGTCTCATTCTCAGCATACATTATTGATCAGGGGTTGAGAAGTTAAATGACTGTGTATGTACCAGGAAGGTGGGGTCAATTGTTTGTGCATTAGGGACCATTTGCCCCATCTAAGTAGATCACACTGATTATTTCTAACAGGTGGTGGTCCTCTAAGGGGATAATGGTCCCATAAGAAAAGGCCTCCCAATTTTTTAAAGTGAGCTAGCCATTCAGATTTTCAATGTCAAAATCATTAACTTTTTAATGTTGGCAACTGGTTTGAAAACTTAAAAAGCACTCTGTTGGCCAAACCGAGCATATTCGCCAAGGGCTGTCAGCTTGTGGCCTCTGCTATGGATTACATTGTATTAATGTTATTGACAGTTCAGAATGTTTAAATGCAGTATATTCAAGAGCCTGTGTGTGTGTGTGTGTGTGTGTGTGTGTGTGTGTGTGTGAGAGAGAGAGAGAGAGAGAGAGAGAGAGAGAGAGAGAGAGAGAGAGAGAGAGATGGGGGAGTTTGTAGTGTGTTTAAGAGTGAAAAAATAGAGGGAGAAAGATTGTCAGAAGCAAGTGGTCTTGCTTTTATACTCTTAGCCCTTCAGAATTCATATTCACCCCTACTCTATTGCTGCTTGGCCATAAATCAAAGTCCCCCTGAGAAGCCCAGAACGTAAGTGTCATTTAGATGTGACCTCATGCCTGGCCCCTGTGGGGTGGGGATGAGGGAACTCTGCTATGATACCAAAGTTCTGCGGAAGAAGCACACCCTCCCTCAGCCTTAGCTCAAGAAACTCCAGATGTCATCATGGTGGTGAGTCATCCATGGCTTAAAGAGGCAGCGTTCACTTTCCCTGGGAAACCAGAAGAGCCTCTTATCAATACTGGATAATTTGAGTTACAGGGCTGGGACTAAGGTGAAGCAAGCACAGCATCTAGCATGCAAAGTTCAAGGAACTAGATTGTTATTTGGCTAAAGAAAAGAATGAAGTGCTCATGCATGCCACCACAATGATGAATCTGGAAAACATGCAAAGTGAAAGATGCCAGTTACAAAAGACCACATATTATATGATCCCAGCTATATGAAATGTTCAGAATAGGAAAATCCATAGAGATAGAAAGTAAATTAGTGGTTGCCTGAGAGTATGGATGGGGATGGGGTAAAGTGCACAAACAGGGAGTGGCTGCCAGTGGGTACTGGGTTTCTTTATGGGGTGATGAACAAGTTCTAAAAAGGATTGTGCTGATGGTTCCACAACTCTGAAGAGACTACAAATCAGTGAGTCATGCACTTCAGACACGTGAATTGTCTGTTATGTGAACTCTATCTCAGTAAAACTGTTACAACATTCAATAAATGAACAATAAGAGACACAGACTTCCCTCAACTGGAAGGAGTCATTTTGGGGCCCAAAAAGGAACGTTTAAGGAGGCACCACTCCTGTGCAATGCTAAGAAGGATGCCTGGCTTACCCCACCCGACTCCGTCTGAGCCCGAATGAAACTGCACTAGTGTTATCCAAGCATCTACCAATGGTTCACTGTTGGGTTCTATTTAATTTTTCTCTCTCTTACATTCATTGATTCACTCTACAAAGAAGCATGTGTTTCATGTCCGATCTCAGTTATAGGATAAAAATAAGACCTTTCACTCTGGGAATCTTAGAGTCTGGTTGGGGGGTGGTCTTAGCCTTTTTGTGTGTCACCTTTGGACCACTTCCCAGATTCTTTTTTTAATCATACAAAAACTATTGAGTACAGTGGCTTAGCACAACACTTTTCAAAAACAAAGAGAAAATTTCCTAATAATGTGACTGAAACTGCAAACCTAAGAATGTTTTTAAATGCATAAAAATAAAACAGACAAGACTACAAAGGAAACGAGTTACACTGAAACACAGGTATTAGAATATAAACAAATTGTATGATAGCCATCTACATGCTTTTCTATTAACACATTAAATGACAAATCTGGTGTGTATTTAATAACTACCATACTTTTGAAGCTGAGATGAAGGACCCCACATTTATGAAGAGGGATGAAAATATTTGCGATTTCCATGATTACAAAGTCAGAGGCATTCTTAATACACCTGTTGTCCGTTGCTCCCCCACCCCTCGCAATTGTAGACAATGCTAAATTTCAAGGAGAAGTTAGTGACAATAAAGATGTATTTTTTTTTCCATTCAAGTTCACAGACCCCCTTGAACCTAGGGAACCTCGTGGGATTTTGGATCAGAGTTTAAGAGCCTCTGGTAGTGGGGAGACTGGCCCTGCAACAATATAGCCTGGGGACAGCAAGGCAGTGGAGGGGAGAGTCAGCTCCTGGTCAGCCTATCTACTCCACCTACCTGTGTGACCTAGGCAAGTTTCCTGAGCCTCAGTTTCCATAGTGAGCAACTCATAGTGTTGTCATGCAGAAGAGCTAAAAAACCTACCTGGCAAGAAGCAAAAGTGATGTTAAATGTTTTTGGCATGCCTGTGGGCAGTCTTGGTTCACACGAGTAGCCAGCCAGGCTTCCTGAGTTCTTTAAAAAAAATCAGTATTCAATTTAGCAAATATTAGGCTTGGTAAAGCCGGGAACTCACTGGCTACCTGAGCTTTTCAAAGTAATTTGTCAACTTTTATAAATACTGTATGTGAAACTTAGATTCTCTTAAATGTTCCAACAATCTACATAAATTTAATACATTTCATTTTTTACTCATGTCATGTTCAAATTAATTACTCAAATACACATTTTGAATTGGCATTAGAAGGCTGTTCTGTTAATCCAATGGTGCAACTTTTCTCAAATACATAAAATATCAAATTGGCACAAATTCCTTCTTATCTCCATAATATTAAGTACTATGATTTTGAAGTATCTCCAACTTTTTAACACCTAGTTAAAATTATTCCAGGGTTTTCAGAGATGTTTGCCTACTAAAAGTAACCTATTATATCATCCCACATAATTTTAGCTCACTGGTTAATTCTATTAACTATTTAAAAAACTATCCCAATCCTATACAAAGCCATTTCAGAAAACAGAGACAGGAACATTTCCAACTCAGTCTAGGAGTTCCTATTACCCTGATACAGATATCAAACGAAAAGAAAACCACAGACTAATGTCCCTTATGGGTTTAAATGCAAAAATCCCAAACGATATAATAGCAAATTGAATTTACTAATATATAGAAGGATTATATGACCAAGTGTTATTTAACTCACATAAGTTTGGAGATTATCTTCCCATGTAGTTTTTGGTACCACTTCACCCTTACACAACACAATGTTAACAGATTGGATTCTAGGTATCTCTTAGGGCCTTTTTTATTCAGGCAGGACTTTTACATACTTGACTTTTATTTTAAGTGTAATGAGGGAACAGCAAGATCATGTAGGAGGTGCACTGGACGTTTAAAGGAGTCTAGGTTGGTGTGGGAGAATCAGGGACTCACACTGACTCTACAGCAGTTTGAGTTTGTGGCTGAGAGGAGAGTGGGTACCAAGGAAAGTTCCGGAAGGGGAGAGAATGGAATGTGTAAAGTGACTTACTGTCTCTATTCTAATAGTAAAAGGGAGTGGGCAAGAAACAGAGAAGTAGTGTTCCCTATAAACGGGCAAGGTCGGCCTGGGGAGGCTTTTCCTTTAGGGAAAGTTCCCAACCCCCAGCAATGTACCAATGAGGAGAAAGCACCCCCAAGACCACGCCCCTGTATTTTACTCCAGGCAGATGCTTAACAAGGATAGTTTCTTTTCCCTTTTGGGAGAAACATTTTTAAATAACCATAACAATACAGTAATTATATTTTACTTTTGTTTCTAATTAGGAACTCAAGATCAGAAATTAAGTTCCTTTCATTACTTTGGAAATAAGCAGCTCATCCTGCCGGCTGCCCACGATTTGATAAGTAAGGGTCATAAATATTTTGTTGGCCCAACTAATTGTGGTTGCTTTCATTCTTTCCCCGATAACTTTCATTACTTCCATGAAACTTCAAGAACTTCCTATGGGGTAAAGATGATGAAAGCTAAGACCTTTGATCAATTGCAGACGTTTTTGTTTAATGAATGCTGCCATGTGTCTGTGGGGCCAGCCATACCAAATAGGAGCTCACTGAGAAACAGTGGGAGGCAGCAGACAACTGAAAGAAAATGAAAGATGATTACTGCCTTCGTGCAGGGGATACAAAGCATACTGCACATAATATAACATCTGACCCCAAATACATAGCTACCATTCGTTGAGCAACTATGGGACACGCACACACACAGTTTAGGTTTCACAAAAGCCTGGGGGAGGATAGCATTGTCTTTTTCTTTCCTTTTATCCCATGAGAAAACTGAGGTTTAAGAAATTAGGTGACCCCCCTCCCAAGGTCCCCAGCGAGGAAGTGGTGGTGTCAGGTTTTGTACCACGTAGAGGGAGGTCCCAGGAGAAAAGCAGCTTCAGCTTAAGTTATAGTAGGTTATTAAGGGCGAGGATTATTTTTAACTTTGCTATGACCATGGGCAATTATTTCGTTGACACGGTTCTCACGGTCCTCATCTTGAGAGCGCCCCCTTCCTCGGTGATTAGGGGCCAACAGGAAGGCGCGCCCCGCGCTTCAGCGCGTTCCTGATGTACGACGCAGGCGCCCTCGGAACGGCAAGCCGGTTAAACTGACGTTGCTGGTGACCGTCCGAGGGGACTCAAGTTCCTCAAATCCCAGGATGTGCGCTCGCTGTAGATTTCACCGCTTGACTCAAGCAAACCCCTGAAATCCAAAGGGCATCCAAAATTTGCCCAGCCAGCCCATTGCTGCTCATTAGATTTACCCGCCCGCACTCTTTTCCTCAATTCTATGCAGCCTCCCAAGGGCTTTTGGTTTTACGGCCTGTGAGAGGTCGGACTTGGCGCTCGGTGTGCACCCTGGGCTGGAGACCAGGGAGAGGAGAAGCCGCCTCCCAAGAAGCGGCCCCTCCCGGGGGGCAGGGCGAGCACTCGCCAAGTCCACGCTCTGGGAGGACCTCGGTGGCAGACGAGACACTGCACTCCCCGCCCCGATCGGCCCCGCGAGGAGCCAGGCTGTAAGCGGGCGCGGGAGGGAGGGCTGGTTGACAGTGTCACACACGCGGCCCCTTACGCGTCTGTCACCCCCCCCGCCCCGCCTCGGTCCCAGGCGCCGGGAGCGAGGCCAGGGGCGGGGCGCGGCCCTAGGAGCGCGTGCGGCCGGGGCGCTGCTGCGGGCGTCTGGGCCCTAGGGGCTCAGCGCGCGCGCCGGCCGCCCGCCAGCTCCGGGACGGGCCCAGCGGGCACGCGCCCCCCGTCGCGCGCCGCCGCCCCAACGCGCGCTCCCGCCCTTGCCGCGCACCCGCGCACGGGAAGAAGCTGCCGGCTCCAGTCTCGCCGACCCGCACCATGCCCCGCATAGATGCGGACCTCAAGCTGGACTTCCAGGACGTCCTGCTCCGACCCAAGCGAAGCAGCCTCAGGAGCCGAGCTGAGGTGGGACCCTTGAAAAGCCGCTTTGGGGGTGGGATCATTTTCCCGGGTGGTACGGGGTAGGTGTGTGTGTGGGGGGGGGGGTGAAAGGCAGTGGGATATCGCAACCTTGCAGCCGTTCTGTGGGTCTGAGGATGGATGGGGTGCTGACCCCCTTTGCCCTCCCTCTTCCTCACCACCTGAGAAAGGGGAAAGCCAGCTGATTCCCTGCCAGGACATGTGTTTTAAGGGGCCTAGCTCCGGCCCAAAACTGAGTGGGCAGGGGGTGGATACATTAGAACTAGACCATCAAGGAGCAAAGGTTAAGTGCCAACTGATTTAGAAAGAACCGGGCAGGGGGCTTGGAGAGGTGCACATAGAGGGGAAGGACACAGAGGAGAAGCGACTAGGAGCCTGGTGATTCTGGCAGTCTCTTAGTGCCGAGAACAGCTATATTCATCCAGCAACAGAATTCCTTTAAAAGGTCTGCAAACTAGGCAACTCCAGGGTAAAAGGTCAGGGTTTACTTCCTGTGTCTCGAGGGTCTTGCTGGAAGTGAGGCTGGGGACTGTGCCTGGCGCAGCCTACTTACTGGACAGCTCCATCAGCGCAGTTCTAGGGAGGTTGAAAGAACTGGGGTGCAGGTGTGGCGGGGGCGGTAGTGGACCCCAAGTCCTTGATGAGGTGATGAGATCAAAGCCTGAGAAACAGGTGGAATCTGGACTGGAAATAGCCCAGGGGTGGGGTGTGGGGACAGGGATGCCCCTCACGGGGAGGAGGAAGGTCAGACCCTGAAGATCAAACTATTTGCAGGGGACTGCAGAGTCCCCTGAAGGAGTGTGTGTGGGACATCATGGCTTTGCCTGGTCTGCTGGGAGCTGGAGAAGGTGAGGAAACGACTCCAGCTGGAGGCCAGGGCCGAAGGAGTGAACAGGAGAGGGCTGAGCCAGCACACTGTCCATAGGCCCCACTCCAGAAGACCATAAATAATCCCCTTGCAAGAAACTCGGCTGCCTGCCTGTGCCCTGTGCTGACTGCAAAGCCTGGTGCTGTGAGGCCCTGGCTCGTTTGCATGAGCGGAGCCTCCTGCTTCATTCAGTCAGTGAGCAGAATCAAGGCCCCTACTCAAGCAGAAGCGTTGGCAGCTGTAGCTGGAGAAGCTGAGACAGGACTGGACTGGGAAGGTGGGGAATGAATAACCCTTATCTCCTTACATTGGACTGCTCTGCTCCTGTCCTTCGTCATGTCCTTTCAGGTGCCAAAGAGTGGGGCAGACGCTCAGAAGAAAAATTAAGTTTGAATGGCTGGCCCAGGCCTCCAGAAGTATAAGCAGTGGCCCGTACTTAAGGCCAGATCAAGATGAGATGTAGGGGTTCTGAGCAGACTAATAATTTGGTGGCCTCTGTATTCTTTAAATATTTGCTCAAAATTCACTTAGTAGAGAGAAACTTATTTTTAAGAAAAATTGTATGCTTAAAACAAGGATGTCTTATATGTATTTCTGAACCAGGAAACATTTTGAAAAAATAAAACACTTAGAATTTATGTAATAGGATGAAATACTCTTTCCTAGGGAATAGTATGACTTCATGCATACATTATTTTGGTTTCGTTATTTGGGCTGATTGAAACTACTAATGCCCCAGCTTCCAATGGCACCTCGCAGTCTACAGGGGCACAGTGGGAACTCTGTGACTTGAGAGATGTTTGCATGTTTCCACTTTTGTGAGAGTGTGCCTGGAAACCTGAGTTACCTGGCATAGCTTTTCTAGCTGGTTCTGGCCCGTAATGGTTAAATTGCCTGGCTGGCCGCTCCCCATAATTTGCCTGCCTGCTTCAGTGATACCAAGGGATCTGGGTAGGCCGGACCCTCTCAGTGTTTTCTCAGTTTGCTTGTGTATGTCTGGAATTTACTGTAGGCAGATAAAAACTTCCCTGAGCAGATAGAAGCCTAAAATGTACGTCCCCTAGCAATAGTAATACCTGAACACACATTTGAAACTAAATGGTGAATGACTGACTTTGAGCCTAACCAGACCACAAATTTGAGTGGAGCCAGGAGAGAAAACACACCTGTGAGCCGAGTCTGGCTGGAAAGAGAGACTGTTGACAAGGTCTATCTTTGCAGCAGTGTTGCTGAGAGCCAGCCTGCTGCTGGGTCATCAGGCAGTAAGCAGGAAATGGAGAGAAAGGCAGAGTGATCCGCCACTCAGAAGGTCTAGTGGTCAAGCAAGGGCGTTGCCGCAAGTGTGACAAAATAAATTCGAGGTCAGCTTCTAGAGGCAGAGGCTGGCCCCGGAGACCATACTGTGATTGTACCAGATGGGCAGTCATCTCTCAAGTGTTTTTCTGTTGCATTTGCTCCTGACTCCACAAGTCCCTGCTACACAAGAATAAAGTGTCCCTGGGTAGCATGGGGGTGTTTGGGTAATCTTTTCAAAGGAAGTGCCATTGTTGACTTGAGGCAAGATCTTTGTCCTTACTTGATACATTGCTGAGGTTGTATCATTCCCTGAGTTTTCTTCCTGGGGACCCATTCCTGCCTCTGATGTTCCATCCTAGTCCTTTTCCTGGTAAGATTTAAAAAAACCCTTAAAAACGCAACCATAACTTTGGAAGTCAGACATTGAAGGATTTCACAGCAGGATTGGCTGCTTGTCCTAAAAAGAGAAGACATGATGCAGTGAGTCTTCAGCTTCCTTAAAATTCTAGTATAATTTTTTCACAGCAGTCCCATGAAAAATAGATCAGCTCCAGGGAGCTCTCTGCCTCAGTGGTCTGTGGACAGGTAGGCCTGAGGGGGAGGAGAACTTGGCAGAGAGGGGGAGTATTGGGCTGGCAGAAAGGACACCGCGGTGCCAGTCTATGCTGAGCAGTATTAGTTTATTACCGTTGGCTCTATAGTAGCTTCTCGGGCTCTGTAACAAAGTGCCACAGACGGGGTGGCTTACACAGTAAAGCTTTCCCTCACAGTTCTGGAAGTGGAAGGTGCCAGATGCAGATGCCCCCAGGCTGGTTCCTTCCCAGGGCTGTGAGGCAGACTCTGTCCCAGGCCTCTGTCCTGCCTTCTGTTGTTTACACGCCAGCTGTAGTGGTCCTGGGCTGTGGATGCATCATCCTGATCTCAGTCTCCGTCTGCATGTGATGTTCTCCCTTTCTGTCTGTGTCCAGATTTCCCCTCTACATGAAAACTCCAGTCGCACTGGAGTAGGGTCCACCCTAATGACCTCATCAAGTCCAATTTCCAAATCAGGTCACATTCACAGGTACTGGTGGTTGGCATTTCAACATCTTTTTGGGGAGACATGGTTCAAACCTGAACTGCCTCCATGAATTTTGCCCTGTAAATTAAAGGGTTTGGCTAGACTTGTTCTTGATGAATGTATCAGAGTCACCTAGGGAGATGCTCCAAAACCCACACATGGTCTCCAACACAAAGATTCTGATGTATTTAGTTGGGGCAGCCTGAGCATGTGTATCTTGGCAGTCATCCTGTGACGATGCCCATGTGCACACCGATGCCCTGGAAGGGCCACTGGAGCCTTTGCCATTTGCAGACCCTGTGGCTCTCTGTTTATACATAGTTGCATGCACTTCTCTGGACCCTGACAACTAATGGTTAGGTTCCAAGGTTCAGAACACATCCAGAGGGCTGGGCTGGAGCCCAACAAGCATTGTCCTAGAAAAGGCTGGGGCTAGAAGACAATATAATTTTTACAGCTTAGCCAGACATTAATTTATTCCATACTTTTTGACCCTCTGGGACTAATCGTCCTTAGATTTACAATCTACAAGTGAGACAGATAATGAATAGTCTATTTAATGAGATAATTGCTTTAATCAGTACCATCCATAGATGTAGGCAAAAGGAGCCCCTGCCCCGGACCCCACTTCTGTTCCCCTGACTCATGTCACTGGACAGGGCTGGAGAACCATGCCTTTCTCTCTAGGCCATGTTCTATATCCTCAGGATCCTGGATTTCCCCGCCCAAGGGACTGGATGCTGATTCCAAGGTGAGCAAGAGCCTCTTCCCCAGGTGTTTTCCCCGGGGCCAGCCATGCTGCAGGTAACTCTAACCTCAGAAGAATGGCAGATGGCACCTGTCCGTGGGAATGGAAGTGTGTGTGTAGCTTAATGTCCAGACTGATGCAGAATGTTGCAACTAATAGGCCCCTTGAATTATCTTTCAGAATGTAGGTGTAACTTACTTCATTGAAGTAGAGCCAGGAATCCTAATGAAGTGGAGAAAGGGATACACTGCCATACATGCTCATACAAAGGGGTGTCCATGTGGATACAGAAGACTAGGGTGAGAAGAGGAGGAGGTGTGGATAGGGTGCCAGGGCTGGCTCCTCATGGCAGCATGTTCTGGTGCTTTCCAGGTGGTTAACGAAGTTATGTTTGTCCAGGTAGGATGACAGAACAAAATTTATGCATCAGGTTATTAGCTTGATTCATAACATTGGGATATTTAGACATGTGGGAGGTGGACCTCCATTTTACTTCTAAGCCCCCGAATGTCGGGCTATAGAACAGACTTTTGAAGGTGTATTTAAGGAGCTGCAGACACATGTGTTTTTGAGGTGAGGTAGTGGTAGTTTATTACATTACGTTCCTCTTCAAATCAAGCTTAGTGGGGTGGGAATTTTGAGCTGCTGTATTTGGTACCTGGACCAGCTGTGGCAGCTTAAAATGCCCAGTTTTGGTTCCAAGAGATTGGAATATTTAAAAGATTTCTTTCAGGGAACAGCTTGTCTATCTTGTGTGTACATGTGTGCCTGTGTGGATAAGGTCAGGGAAGATAATCTTATTTCTCATTCTCAGAATTAAGGATTGCATAGAATCTACTGTATGAGGAAGATCAGAAATGAGGGGAAGAAAGAGTTTATTGTCAAAGCTGACCTCTCCCACAAAGGGCTCTGTTTTTTGTGTACTGCTGATAGATGTTGGACTGCCAGGGAAAACCCGGTGCGGGAGTAACAGCTCTCCCCATGCATGGAGGAGTACAAGAGTAATTTAAGACCATGGAATTCTGATTATCTTAATTAAGATAATTAATTAAGCCCATGAAACCAGAAAGTTAGAGGGCCATTAGCAACACAGAAGGTTGCAGCTAGTAGACCCCTCCGTTACCTCTGAGAACAGAAGGCATTCACTGCTTCAGTGAAGTAGCACTAAGAATCCGAATGGAGGAAGTGGAGAAAGGGTTGAGCTGTCACAGATGCCCAGGCAGCGACAGCATGTCACTTTGCCTTGCTGATGGCTGTATAAGGCCAGTGCGGTCATGATTGTGATGTCATCTGGCCAGAAAGCCTTCTAGACCTAGAGCCCTGAGAGCTGAGTTAAGTCAAAAGCCCTGAGCTGGAGTTACAACAGGAGGGCCCTCCCTCCAGCTGTTTGCAACTCAGAGTAACATGTGTGCATATGCACGGCCATATGCTGCAGTGTATTTCCTTACAGCTCTTTGAAAGATGCTCATCATCACCAAACAGCTGAGATGGTCGAAGAGTTAAGGGATTAATGGTCTGCAGCTCACTGCAGGGTGGATTTGGAGTGTGCTGCTCTTGGGAGGTGAGAATTAAGTGCCATGGTTGGCAGGGAAGAGTGGAGTGGATTTTCCCAGAAGGGAAATGGTTCCTTGGAAGTGGGGGAAGATAACATACATGTGGGTGTTTAAGACTGGGATGAGCCAGCTGGGGACAGAATATGGCGGTGGGATGGGAGAGGCTATTGAGGGAGAGAGCTGGTGAAGGCTTAGCTTTACGGCAGAACACCCAGTGCCATGTGCTGGTGTTTGATGCTGTAAGGAGCCTGGGCCAGCTTTTGTACCTGTTACTCAGGGTCCTATCTTTGTAATACCTGGTCCAACCAGTGGACAAAGGGACATATACTTACTTTGTGTTCTTTCCACTTGCCCCTAGAAATTCTGCACAAATCACATAAAGAGAGAAGCACTTCTTTTTCCTTTTTGCCAATAGGTGGATCTTGAGTGTACCTTCACATTTCGAAACTCGAAGCAGACCTACTCAGGGATTCCCATCATTGTGGCCAACATGGACACCGTCGGGACATTTGAGATGGCAGCAGTGATGTCACAGGTAGGACAGGGGCTTTTTTCCCCTCGGTTTCTCACACTGGACAGGTTGTCAGAAGCCTGCCTGGATGCATTCAAACACAGGGAAGGGGAGAAAAGTGAGACCCTTTGGGTCACTGGCTGTGGCCAAAAGATTTGGTTCTGAATCTGATTGTTGCTAGAGGTACTTCTTTTCAATCAGAAGATAAGAGTCTAGACTTGGCATTCAGTGAGTTAATCTAGATCTGCATCCTTTTTTCCCTTGAGAATGTCCATGATAGTTTAGGAAATTACAGATACAAAAAAGAAGTTGGACATTGTGCCATGTTATAGAAGAATGACAGCGCCTTTAAAATTAAGACAGCTGCTTTGTATACAGTCTGTGCTATAGCATTTATTACATGATTATGTAGAAAACATTTATTGAGCATTTCTATGCCAAACACTGGAAATAATGTATATAATGGCACAACTCCACCATAAAAGGTAGGCTGCTTTTATAGATGAGGAAACTGAGGCAGAGAGGGAGAGGAGAGGTAACTTGGTCTGGGCATTCGGCTAGGTAGAGACACTGCCAAGATTCAAACCCAATTCCAGAATAAGGAATTTGCTTCCCAATTTATACTGACAGATAATAGCACAAGTTCAAGGTCCCTTTTAGCCAATTACCAGTCTAATTTCCTATAAAGGGAGCAGCTAGTATACTGGCCTTGGGGAAAATAAAGGAAAAAGCCATTTGTGGGCAGGACCTTAGCCTCATGCAGCTGTGTCTGAGGCGCAGCACACCTTACTCATCCTAGATGTGAAATGTTTGCTTCTGATGTGCTTTGACAGTGTCTGCCAGGTTAAAAGGTAAGTCCAATTAGTTGAAAGAGCTTCTTGCTGTGGGTAGCAAGTCTAACCTCAGGAGGTGCTGTGATTCCTCATTATGTAGTGATTATAAAGTAGATTTTCAAACAAATTATGATCCCCCAAAAATGGAGTAGGGGGTGGTCTGTCTCCAAGATCAGTTGTAGTCTTACAGTCAGTCATCCCTCAGCCCCTGCTGAGCATTGAGCTGGGGGCTAATAAATTAATTGGCAAAGGAATTTGTATTTTTCTCTCCCTATCTTTTCTTAGCTATGCTCTGTGATCAGCCATCACCAGTAATGAGTTACGTATTAATGTAAAAGTGGGCAGATTCAGACAGCAATAAATAACCCTGGTTAATTCATGTATCAGATTATTAGTCCATGAAAATGTAGAACTTGCTGTCCTTATTTCATAGGAAAGACTCCCCCTTAATGAGACAACGCACCATGAAATAGCATGTGTGGGCACCATGCATTTTCTATTGCTGGGATCCACTGAATGAATAAACTCATAGAATTTTAGAGTGGGAAATTGTAGATGGGGGTTTGAGAGAAGCCCCCACACAGGGCAGTGTGCCAGAGCTGCAGTCAGATGTGAGTTTGACTCCGGCCTTCGCCCCTTATTGGCCAAGCAGTTGTTCACTTCTTAAATTTCTTAAGCTCCGTTTCTGCTCCCTAAGATAATATTACCGTACAAAATTGTCTGAGAAGTGAATGAAATAATGTGTGCAGAGTACTTACACAACATATAAACGTGAGGTTGGTAGTCATAGATTTAGGATTATGATTTATATAATTCCATCAAGAACACCTCCTTCAAGAATGCCCACTGATGGCTTTAGTTTTTAGCAAGAAATGTATAGGTTGTGAACACAAAGAAAAGCCATCAGTCTAAGTGGAGGTCCCTGGGGTCTGACTAAGCAGCTTTGCCTTAGGCTGTGCTTCATGCGGGATGGGGACCTGCTGTTGGTGCTGCTCCTGGCCTAACTCAGCTGGTGGCTGCCACAGGGCTTGGAGAACTCTCCCGCACCCTCCCCGCTTCCTGGCAGAGCCTCCTCAGTCATGAACAAAACATTGTCTCATCAGATTAGAATGGAAAACACGGTTTTGTGATTTCACTGGTTACACCTTTGTCTATGATTTTTTTGGCTCCTAGGAGCATATTTAGAGCAAGTTAAGTGTGAATGGCCAGAACACCTGCTGCTGTTGTGGTGTCGGGTTTCCGCAAGAGAGGGCCTGCCGCCTTCCATCCTAACATGCCATTTTGTTTCCTAGCATTCCATGTTTACAGCGATTCATAAGCATTACACCCTGGATGACTGGAAGCTCTTCGCTGCTAATCACCCTAAATGCCTGCAGGTAGGACTGCGTCCTGGTTACCAATTACAATGTTTGCAGGGGGAAGAAGACCTTCAGGATTGTCTAAAGGATTTGAATTGGCAGATAGGAAGTCCTGAGGGACCTAGGGAGAGGCAGAAGTGGTCCCTGGTCCTTCATCATTTCCACGGATTTGCCAAGGAAACCTGTTCTGTATCCTATCTGGAAAATACTAGGATTTACCCATTAGGAATATCTGTTTTTGTTCCTTCAAAGGTCAATTGTTATGTCATGACAGCTTGGAGAAGACCTGTTATCTCCTGCCAGGGTGCATCCAGTGTGAACATTCCTTTAGCTGTAGAAAAAACATTTAATTCTAATAAGCTGTTTTGGAGTTGAATAAACCATATGTACATGAGGATGGCTATGATCAAAAAAACAAATAATAACAAGTGTTGACATGGATGTGGAGAAATTACAATCTTCCCACACTGAGGGTGGGAATGTCAAATGGTGCAGTGGCTGTGGAAAATAGCCTTTTGAGGTGGTTCTTCAAAAGGCTAGACCTCAGAGTGACCGCATGACCCAGCGATTCCATGCTGGTATATCCACGCAATGGAATGTTATTCAGTTGTGAAAGGGAATGAAGCTGTGCTTCATGATATAACCTGGATGAACCTTGAAAACACTTTGCTAAATGAGAAAGCCAGCGTGTACGATTTTGTTGTCATGAAATGTCAAACCCGTAGAGACAGACAGTAGATAAAGGCAGGGAGATGGGAGGCTTGGAGGTGAAGGCTAAAGGGTATTGGAGTTTCTTTGTGGGGGAGATGAAGATGCTCTGGAATCGACTGCACAGACGGTTGCATGGCTGTGGGTGGATATACTGAAAACCACTGCATTGTGTGCTGTGAATGTGTGAATGGTATGTGATTCTAACAATAAAGCTGTTGTTAAAAAAAAAAAAAGGAGTTGAGTATAATACAGAGCCCCAGTGTAACACGCCTGACTGTCCACCCAGCACCTATAGTGGTTCTGAGCCGGGGCCAGTGGGGAAGTCCCTGTGTTAGAGATGCTGCCCTTGGTGACCCATCAATTGTGATGGGATAATGACTTCATGTCGTACTGCTTTTGAAGCTACGCTGGCTTTTTTGTTTCTTTTTTTGTTTTGTTTTTGGGTTGGGGGCTATGCTTTATGTGTGCAATTTGACAAGTGAGAAGGTGGTTTTGGAGGTAAAAAATATTGTGGCCCAGTGGCAAGTCTCTCAGTTTTTGCCATGTTGTGTTCAGATGAATTATAATTGCATCACCTTCTTCCCCGCTCCTCTGTAACACATCTGGGGAGCAATGGGTTACTTTTTTTTTGGTCATACCTCCGACTTCTTCACGGGGGCTTCTGGCAATGTGTTATTAGCTGGAACCTTAGCCTTCATTACCAACTGTATCATTTGATTTAGTGCAGTGCCCCCCGCCATACTGAAGTCATTACAAGGGGAAAATGTTAAAGACTCAGTAACACAGAGAAAATAACCAGTCTCTGGTTCCACCTGCCAAACTGTAGCAGAAATGGATGGGAAAACTTAGGAAGTAGCAAGGCTTTAGTGGGAGGGAAAGATGTGTGGACTGGGCTGGTACCGCCCGACTGTCATTGCGCGGCGGGAAAACTGGAGTAAGTGTACCATGTTACCAGTCTGCTTACACTCTGCCTCTGGGTTGTAGCTACATTGTTGGGATTTTGGAGGAATAACAGGATATTAAGGTATGTTCCTCCTCTGTGGCTTATGGTTTAGAGATGCAAATTAAAATATAGATATTTTTTTAAAAGGTGAGACACTGATTCTGGGCTCACTCCCATGGTTTTGTGTCACTAAGGCATAAAGTACTGAAAACAACTCTTTGGCCAAGGAGCGGATTTCCAGATGAGCAGAGGGTGGGTTGGATGGCTCCCGGTGCTGTGGTGGGGAGGGACAGGGTACTGGGGAGGGGCTGTGGTGGCATCTCAGGGCACTTTGTTCTTGCATTTGGGGACATTTAAAAGGAACATTGGAGCTCTATGTGTGGGTTACAGTTTGCATGTTGTGATGGTATTTGTCTTGGGAGTGGAAGTGAAAATAGGAAGGAGTTTTATCAGAGGAATTTAAGACATCTTCCCCCTCCCTCCTCTTCTCTAAGTGAGATGCTCAGAGTGGTGAAGCTTAGGCGGGAGGAAGCCTGTGTTGATAGGTCTCCCCTCATTCTTCCTGCCTCTTCTCCAGAAGAGGAAAATTTGCACCAACAGAGAGTTCCGCATACAGAGCTTGAGGAAATTAAGCAAAAGCCAAAGACAAGGTTTCCTGAGCAGTTAAGGATCTGTTTATTGCAAAGATGCTATGGCTGAGGTTCAGGGTTAAGGATCTATGCAATTTCATGGTGGGAAAGATATTGGAGGTGAAGTTTACTGAATCTCCTTTACCTCTGCTGTTGTATATTGCTTGAGCACTGGGTGTATATTTATTTGATCAGGGTAAACTGCAAAGAGTCCCTATACTGTGCCCACAATAGGCGAATGGCTAGAGGCCGGGTCTGACTTCTGAATCCTACTTACTGGTCATGTCTTTGCCTCTTGGTTTATTTTGTTACAGCACCTAGCTGTGAGTTCGGGCAGCGGGACTAATGATCTGGAAAAGATGAGTAGCATCCTGGAAGCTGTGCCGCAGATTAAGTTTATTTGCCTAGACGTGGCCAATGGATATTCAGAACATTTTGTGGAATTCGTAAAACTCGTCCGTGATAGATTTCCAGAACACACCATTATGGTAGGTATGGTGGAACATTCTCTAAATGGGGGAGCAAGGAGAGAGCCCTTCAGTGAGTCAGGGGGAACTATATTCTCTTCTGAGCTTGTGGGACCTTTTTATTGGGAGGCTAGTGGAGAATCATTAGGAAAAGGACAGGCAGGTCATTGTTTCTTGACAACAGTAATACCAGTGATTGAGTGCCTATTGTGTTTCAGGAGTATACACCTGTTCTCTTTCTTCTGTGCATCTCTGTAAGGAGTAGAAACTGTTGTCCCAGATTTACCACAGATGAGGAATTTGAAGCCCTGATTGGTTCTCACACTTAGGAATTTTCACAAGGTCACAGCAATGTTAAGCAGCAAAGCTGGGATTTAAAGCCAGGTCAGCCTGAATGTTCAAGTGCTGTCCCTGAGACTTCCTGACATGCCCCGTCCTTGGAGACTCCAGTGACAAGGCTCCTTTTGTCCCTGGGCCCTATGTGTATGACCAATTTCCTCCTTCCAAATTCTGAGGTGGGAGATGGGCCTTCTTAAGCTTTGCTCTAGATGTTGGTAAAGTTACCCTGTCTCATGACCCAAGAATGCGTATGTTTCTAGTCCTGAGGCCCCCCAACTTGCTCGTTTGTCCCCAACCATTTTTGGGAACTTTTTCTCATGAAAACGAGAAAAATAAAAGTTGGACTCCTTGGAAAGCAGAAGCCTCCAGCTCCCAGCTGGGACCTGGTAGCCCATAAACGGTGTTTGATACTAAACATAAAAGCTGTGAAACAATTCCTGGGTGGTAGAAAGAACATGGCAGGAGAGGAGCCCGTTGTTCATCCTTTGGACAGTAGGAGATGAGGCGGGCCCCCCTGGTTGTAGGTAATATGTTTTCTTATCTGAGGTGGTGGGATTTAGGACTTTTCAGATCTTTTCAGCTTACCTCTAGTGTTTTAATTGTTCTCCAGAGCAGTTAAATACATGGGACTAATAAACTTGGAAGGTTGTGTGTTACATCTACTGGCATTGTAAGGTGTAGAATTAGTTATGAGGGGTTAGGATTCAGAAATTACCTGGATTTAATGAAGCAACCTAGTGGGTCTGCTTTTTTTTCTTTAGTAATTCTTTTGTTAAATTGTGAAATATGACATTTTAAAAAACAAAATTCAATCAAGTCCATCTTACTGGCTTAATTGATTCCAGATTATTAAGTGTCTGGCAGCATTCCATCCAGCAAGTAAAGGTTTTATAGGAAGGAAGGTGGCCAAGAAGTTATTAGGAAAAGAAAAGAACGGGTTGTTTCCAGCCAGGTCACTTACCCTTAGGGAAAGAGAAGGGGGCCTTCCGCAGATTACATCAATAGTAATCAGAAAATTTGAGACTGACTGGTTTAAAAAAGGCTGGCAGGACAAGGGAAAGGCAGTGTTGCCAGCAGAGAGCCTGGGGGTTGCTACGGGGCTTGGGGAGATGCTGGGAGCGCGGCATTCCATGGCCTCCGGGCAGCCACCATCAGCAAGCAAGAGGCATCTTCTGGCCACCCGGGGCTGTGTTTTCATCGCTCTAGTTGGTTTCTCCAGCAATAAACAGGAGACTTTGGCGAGGTAGACGTTTCTTCCTAAGCCACTCTTTTTTTGCTCTGATCCTAAAATCTGTGATTCATTCGGAAACAGCCGGTACTCGTACGCCCTTGAATTTCGGAAATACCACTTCTCTTCTGGTGTTTGGAGGTATTGTGAGGGTGCATTACCATTTGTCCATTGTTTGAGAAACGAAAGGTCTATAATACGGGTGCTGAGTATTGTTATGATCGTTACAATGCAGTGAACAGGAGTGTTCAGAGGTGTTCTTGGCAGAGGCCAGCAGTTCTGGGTGTCTGCATCAGGAGCGAGGGCTTGTGGCTCCCTGTGCCCAGGATCTCCTGGATTTACATGCACACACTTTTCTCTTGCCTTTTGTCAAAGGCAAGCCTTGCCACGTGCAGGGAAGAAGGAAGCAGGAATTTTTAGAAAACTTCTTTGGCAGAAAAGGGTCCTGCAGAGGTGCTGGCCGTTAAATTGTGTAGTGAGTCCCACGGCCATTTGCCTGTGGCATTCAGAGAGGAAATAGGATGTGCATTCTTGGGTACATTCTATAGGTACTGGGGAGAAAGGCAGTTGCATGGATAACAAATCCTCGAGCAGGGAGAAGAGCACTTTTTATTGATGTGAAACTTTGTCTTGGAGTTCCAAGATCTTCCTGTGGTAGCACCCACCCAGCAGCGGCTGGGCCAGCTCAGGCCTGTGGGGACACGGAAGTCCCTCTGTGGGGTCTGAGAAATGCTCTTGTGTGGGTGGCTCTTTCTGACCTTGTCCTGAGGACGGAAGCTTGTGAGCCCTGATCTGTCCAGATTAGACCAGAGGCCTAGCTCTGTGCCCCTGGGGAATGCCGCATCGACACTGTTGGCATATCCCCGGATAGCTGTGGTCTCAGCCTGGGAATTGCCTGTGGCCGGAGGCTTGGTTACCTGTCTATGGTCTTCCTCTGTCCGTCATGGTAAGACGGGGTTCTGGGCCACACAGAGATACCTTCCATTCCATACATACCTCTTCCCAGAGAGCTGGACACTCTTCAGCATTCCTTGAAGGTGTCAGCCATGGGCAGCCTTACCAGTGGAGCAGGCCTCATTGAAGTACAAGCAACTTGTTATAGCTGAAGGTACCTCTCAGGCTGGGTTATCTGCATTTTCTGTGTTTACTCTCTTTCTGGAACTGCTGTGAACTAGAGCTGTGGCAGAAGCTCTGATGGGCCTCAGGCTTCATGTTTGTTTCAGAGAGTTGCATAGTAAACTGAGTTTAATGTGCCATGAAAGGTGGTTATTGCCTTGATAGCATCTCCTATTCCCTGATTCCGTGAGTAGGTGGTGGGACATTTTCCATGTGCTTGGGAGAAGACTCCAGCATTAATGTCCCATCACCTTATTTTAGGAGTTGTGGCCATGGGCCAAATCCAGCCTGCTGCTGCTGTCTGCTGACCCCTGCCTTATATCATTCTACAGAATTGATTTTCATAGAAATAAAATTCTTATAGAAATAAAAATCTATAGATTTTTCTTGGTAGAGGGCCTCAGAAGAGAGTAAAAAATTGGGTAGGGACACTGTTTAATGGGGACAGAATTTCAGTTCAGGATGATGAGAAAGTCCTGGCGGTGAATGGTGACAATGGTTGCATGACAGGGAAAATGCGCATAATACCACCGGACTGAACACCGAAAAGGGGTTAAGACAGTAAATTTTATGTTATGTGTATTTGAAGACAAAACGAAGAAGAAGGAAAAGTGACTAGAAGAACAATATTCAGAAATCACTGTTAAGTGGAGGGACTGACATTTTACTGAACCACACTGGGAGGCGGGCACTACCCTAGGAACTTAATAGAACGTTCTTGGTTAACCTTACAGTGACAACAAGCAGTGGGTATGATTAGCCCCATTTTATAGCAGGATAAATGGAGGTCAGAGCTGGAGAGATTTTCTTAAAAACACAGGGTAAGTGGAGGGGCCGTGATCCGACCCCAGGCTTTCTGCGCGAATTTCGCCATAAGGGGTCCAGATCTAAAGGCAGGCTGGCAAAACTGGGACAGAACAGTTTTGGTTTTTGCCCAGAGGAGTTTTGAAAATGGTCCAACATTACTTGAAATCCTGGTTTCTGCTTGCCGGGTCCCTCCCCTGCCGTGCTCTACCGGTCTGACCTGGAGGGGCAGTCATTGCCTGTAGAAGGAGGGGGCAGCGGGCGGAGCTCACCCTCCCGGAGGGGGGCGCCTGGCCGGAATCTCCACCTGCCCTGTAGGTGCCCAGAGGGTGGGCAGCTTCCTTTCCGTCGTGGCTGCTCCAGGAATTACCCGGCGTGACCCGCCGGAGCGGAGGGCGAGGACGGCCCCTATCTGCTCCGCACAGGCGCCGCCTGGGGCCCCGGGGCGCGGCTGCGCCTTCTCAGCCCCGCCGGCCGCGCCCCAGCCGGCCATGCTCCCCCTGGCGTGCTCGCTTCTGATTTTGGCTTTTCCTTCCCCCCATTATCTTTACCCTTCTTGGTTTAAAATTTGAGTAGATAGCATTTTGTGTACAGCCGCCCATCCTCCCCGGTCTGCAGGCTGCCTGTTGCGGCGTCCTGGTGCTCAACGCCTTTCACGGTTACCTGTGTTTGCCGTCCGAGCCCCCGGGGAAGGAGCCGCACGGGCGGCCGAGGGGCAGCGGGGACTCCTCCGGCCCCCTCTGGGCTGCCTGAACTGGACCACCCTCCTCTCTGTTTTAAACCCACTACCACCGTGCATGGCTGCACTTGGTACCTCCGTCTGGAGCTGACTCGAATACATTCATTTTGTGTAAAGTGATTTGTAGGCAACGCCAGATTGGGGGAGGAATCCACATTGAAAATGAAATTATGTGGGGAGCTTAGAGTAGCTTTTTTATGTTATTTATGTATTTAAGTAGAAATTTGAAAATCTTTAATTTTTATTAAGTCCACTAGTGAGGAAGTGTGAGGGCTGAGGGTCTGGTTTCTCTGGTTCCTGTTAAGTTCTTTTTCGGGTACAGAGTTCATGCTGTTCCTTGTACTGACACACACACACACACACACACACACATACACACACACACACACACACACAAACCAAAAAACCATCCTATTTAGTTATAAAAGTGCTATAGTTTCTACTATAAAATCCAGAAAATTTTAAAGAAGAGAATGAGAAGGCAGGTAATTTCTTTATCTAGACTACTTTGTTAGTATTTTGGTGTATGTTTTCATATACACAAACACTTTATATTTTTAACAAAAATCAAGATCTTACATTTCTTTCCATTTCCTCTAACATTATACTGAAAGCATTTAAGTATTTTCCCATGCCATCAAACCGATCTTAAAAAACATCACGTGGATGGGCCATAGATTGTAGAGCCATTTCCATCCCATTTGGGGAATATATTTGCCGTTTTGCACTGTTAGAAATAATACATCCTTGTCATTAAATCTTTTGCCTCTTCTGAGATTATTCCCTTGGGAGAGAATCCTGGGAGTAGATTTACTGGATCAAAGGGCATACATAGTTTTGCATTTCCTCCATATGGACACACAGCTTTCCAGGAAAAAGTGTACTGAAATAGACAGTCCGACAGCAGGGAAAATTGCCTGTTTTCTCTTTAGTGTTTATAATCACTGATAATTTGTCAAGTGAGAAGTAGTAGCTCCCTGGTATCTTAATTTAAAATTTGATTATTAGTGAGGCTGAACCCTTCCCCTGTGTTTATTGGCCACTTTTCTTTCTTTCGTCTGGCTTGTTCAGGTCCCTTGGCAGTTATTCTGGGAGGTGTTAGCGTCTCACAGAGTTGGAAGAGCTAGTACCATGCCAGGAGGCCGCAGTCATGATTGCAGGAGCTCTTCTCTCGGAGTTTTGTTGATTGCATGAGTGTGTCTGTTTATAGGTATACATTTTTTAATTTTCATGTAGGCAGATCTATATGTACGTTTTACTTGCATGCATGTTACAAAAGTATTCAAGCTGTTTTTGTTTTTGTTTTTATCCTAAATCTGAGGGGATAGAACTTTCAGTTTAACTCTTAAATCCATCTGAAGCTTATTTTGGTGAAAACTATGTGGGATAATCTATAACTTGTTTCCAGAAGATCCCTGTGCCCAGCTCTATTGAAATACTGTTTCCTTCCTCAAGGACACATAACGCCATCCCTACTATGCAATGTACCATCATATGGTCTGTTTCGGGTTGTCTGTCATTTTTCCACTGTCAGATGTGTTGGATTACAGCAGCCTGGAACCCTCCTCATCACCTTTTTTATACAAAGTTAGAAGTCATTTTGTCTCGGTTGAAAAAGAAAATTCCATCTGGGAATCAATTCAGTGAAAAGACAGTGGGGCTTTACTGCAAAGAAAAATAAAAAACGAGAAGAATGAGTAGGGATGTGGTTCCCAAAATAAGACTTTGCAGTTGTGAAAATTCAGGGAGGCATCCTGCCAACTGTCCTGTTTATCAGCTGAAGAATCCACAGGGCAGTGAGCTGCAATATAAAAGGCTATTTTGGTGCTCCCAGACTCCGATAGTGAAGGCATTTATATTAGTAATTTCCAAACCAGACGTATCCTTTTTTAGATTGGTCGCTTCCTGGCCTGTATGTTTATTCTTAGGGCCCAGCTTCATGTTCTGGAGCTGGAGCCTGTGCCGGCGCAGTTCCATAAGGGGTCCTCTGTCCTTTCACATCCAGGCGGAACCGCTGACCTGAGGGTGGAACACTTGGGTATTTTCCCAACGGTGAGATGCTCAGTTATTTCCTAATCCTGGATCCCTGCAGTTGCACAAAGGTTCCTTGGGTTTTACATCTGAGACAGTAAGGGCTGTAATCAGCTGGAGTGTTTCATTGCTTATTTTGTGTATTTGGGTTGTCAGTAGGATTTTGTTTTCTCCATCACTTAAATGTTCAAAGAGCCCTGACTGGGGTCATCTCAGCTATCTAGTAGTTCTAAAATTGTACATCTGTCTACCTTCTCATGCTGTCAGCTCCTCCACATGGAGTCTCAGGTGTCAAAGTTCTGTGCTCCTGGTCACTAGGGAAGGAGAACAGGAGAACACCCTGGCCCATCAGTTTCTTAAAGTAGATTCAGGAGTTGGGTCCATTGTTTTCTCCCACTTTTTTTTTTTTTTTTGTCCCCAGGCTACCTGGTGGCTTCCGAACTTGCTCATCCTTGTGTCTTGTGTGAAGCTCCTCATTCATGCATCTTTGTAACACCGGGAGTGGTTCACAGTCATGAGCTGTGTTCTTTTTGTCGCAGGCAGGGAACGTGGTGACAGGGGAGATGGTAGAAGAGCTTATTATTTCCGGAGCAGATATAATCAAAGTGGGAGTTGGACCAGGTAAGACTTGCTGGGAAGCACAGCCAAGGCTTGTGAGGGGAGGACCGGGTCGGGGTTATGGGGGGACTGGAAGAGGCCAGAAGGGGAACCCATGAACCATTCATCCACAAATTTAAAGCACGTTTCTTTTGGAAGGATCATTGAGCTTCCCCAAGGAGCTCCTGATGGGAAACATCATTGAGCTGCATGCTGATGCCCCCAGGGAACGTGTAAATGAGCTTGGATGTGCTTAGAATGTGAGGTCCTAGTTTCAGAGCATTGATGTGGCAGAAAATAATGCAGATTTCATTAATGATCCCGCACGCCTCGAAGGGGAAGGTGAGGGGTAAAGAATCCATGGTGGTAGCTAATGGACAGGAATGGCTCAAGTTTATCTGAACCTTGAGGGACCCTGAACATTGCAAACAGGAAGGCAGTGAAGAGGCCACATTGAACTTGACCCATGGCCCGGGAGTACCAATCTTTGGCTCCTTACCTGATATGCATCCATCTCGGATTTTGCCCATGTCTTCTAGACCTTCTCCCCTGGAACCACCTGTTGGCACCTTGAGTGGAAGAATGAGGCAGAACTTTTGTACCCTTATATAAGTGGCTCCATTTTTTCTTGGGGCCAATCGGTGCCCACTTTCCCCTTTGCCCACACACGAGCGTGAGCTTCCACTGCTTTAAATTCTTCATTGCACATCCATTGCAAATCAAACACTACAACTGGAGAGAAGGAAGAAGATAGACATTTTCAGTTGGGAATTTAAAAATAAGTAAGCAAAGATTGAAAAAAAATCTCACCCACCCCAAAGACACTACCAATAGAGGATGCAAATATAACCCATCATGGGCAGACTGTGGGGCGCCTGCTGGAGGCAGGAGAAGCATGGGGCCCCACGCGGCTTGGCCATCAGCTTGGAGGGAACGGGCTGGGCAGCAGGGGGTGTAGGGAAGGAGCCTTGGAGGCCCCTCAGAGGACACGGGGAGGAGGAAGTGATGGGCCTTCTGTATTGCCACTCACCTAAGCCAGTCAGTGATGTTCTGAGCAAGAGTAGAGACAACTCTGGTTGGTCATTTTTGAAAAGTCAAAGTTGGTAAGGCCCAGTTGTTGCTCACGAGGAGCCCCCACTGGAGTAGGCTGTAACAGACCAGCAAGTGTCTCTTTTCTAAAAGCAGGGTGCTCACCAGCCCCCTGTGTGATCTGAAATGTGTTGTCTCCTGGCTGCCGTTGTGCTGGGGCAGAGGGCAGGGGGTGCCATGCAGCACGTGAAGGGGCATAAGCAGTCCTCTTGGCTTCAGAGAGCTGCTCTTGATGTAATCTTGTTTCCTTTATGTACGTCCTCTGTGTGTACATTCTGTTTCCCCAGAAGACCGACTGTCCTTCCACTTGCACAGTGCACCTTCCCCGCCTCCCCGAGCTGTTAGAACAGACGTGACTGAAGAGACTAAAGGGATATTTTTGAGCCTGATAACACTGGAGCCACTTCCTTAAATTGACTGGAGGTGTTATTTAAGATTCATGAATTCTTTATAAAAACACTGGGTATTCTGTGTCTGCATGACAGTGTTAAAAATGGTTCTTCAATGAGCAACCCTTGGAAACTGGGAAAAAGCATGAAGAACTGTGGGCCCTGCCCCTCTAACTGGGAGGAAATACCTAATTTCTCCTTTCAACCTGGGGTTTAATCAGGACCATTCTCATGCCTGTTGGAAACTTTTTCCTTAACTCTATACAAGAAAGGCCACCGGCCTAACCCATGTGAGTCCCTCATGTGTGCAGAGCCCCGGGCCATGCAGCTGAGGCCCCTGCCTTCCCTCGAAGGTTTAGCAAATGAGTGGGAGAGAAGCAAAAAAGCCGATTTTGAACCAGAGGTAATAAAATTAATTCTGCCTCGCACAGTGCACATCTGGTAGCTGGGGCAGAGGGTGACTGGGGAGAGAAGCTCAGCACCTCCAGGATTGTGAGGATGGACTTGGATTCTGCCCTGCAGCTGGGTGATGCAGGAGAAGAGTGGGTTCCCTTGTCCTTCTGGGTTCCTGCTGAGTCCAGGCCTGGGAGTATAGGCACAGTTCTCTGTCTGATCCTGTCCTGAAAGACTCCTGGGAGACATGTGTTGGGAAGCTGTGAAGGGGCTGGTGGAGGGAGGGAGCCGGGAGGAGAGGAAGGGGCTCAGAGTGGCTTACTCCCAGGTCTGGCAGCTCAGGGGTGCCCCGTAATCCACACCACAAGACATCCAGGAAGGACTGAACAAGTGGTGAAATAGTGGACACAGGGATGTGGGTGACTCATTCATTCTTGTGTTTGTGCATTCCTTCAGTGACTATTTATAGACCCTCATTATGTACAAGGTTCTATTCTCAGTGCTGGATCTACAACAGTGAATATCCATGGAGCTTACCATCCAGCAGAGAAAACAGATCCCCAGCCTTCTTACACAAATAATTATTTAATCGCCTCTTTTTGAAATGAGTGCTGTGACAGTCAGCTCCCCTGAGGCAGTGACATTTAAGATGAAGCCTGAAAGATGAGAAAGGTTGGCAAGACCACGGGGTTGGTACAGATGGGAGGGCTGGAACAGAGAGAACAGCGTGTCTGGAGAATCCCTACGGTGGGGGTGCACTCGCTGCTGAGGACCTCCATGGTCAGTGTGGCTGTGGGGTGGTGAGTGGGGGGAGATGAGGGTGCAGATGGGCATTTGGGAGTTTGATCTTGGGGTGCACGGGTACTCACCTGCTGGGAGGGAGGTACAGGACTTGAGCAAGGGGGCATGTCCTGGAGATGCCGGTGCTCTTGGCGTGATTCAGCCTGGACCTAACTGGGATCGCACTCAGCAGACGGGTCACCCAGGACCAGGGCTGACCATGGGAAAGGCGGAGATCAAGGGGATAAAGGCGTCCAGGTGGCAGGTGTGAGTCCTGAAATGGAAGCTGACCTCAGAGCCCAGGCTGTGTGGGGACTCTGGACAGGGTGGCCAGGGCTGGTGAGATGGTGAAGGAGAGGTGGGGGGCAGAGTGGGGTGAGAGGGGGTGCAGGGACATGGTCAGTGCTGGCACCCTTTCCCGAGGGCTCACTGCAGGCCACACCCTGCCTCTTCTAGAAGCCGGTTATTCCCTACTGCAGCCCTGAAGGTCAGTGTTCTTATTTCTACCTCACAGGCCTGGCAGGGAGTCTTAAAGAAGTGATTTTTGACAAGAGTTGAAGGTACAGGAGGCTAGAGGCCCGGGGGAATCTGAGGGAAGTAGAGTGTGGTTGTGAGGAAAAGCGGGGGAAGGCAGAAAGGAATGGGGGTTAAAACACTGAATCAGGGCTTGGGACCGGGTGCAGGCTGATGTCAAGTGAGGGTGACAGTGACAGGATGGGGTGGTGGTGTCCTGGGTCCCAGCAGTTGGTGGTGACGAGGTGACGAGGGCCTGAGGGATGCCGGCCAGTGGTGGGGTTATAACCACCTCCACCAACCTACGGGCAGCCCCCCTTCATCCCCCCAGCCCCCCACTGCCCCACTGCCATGGAGTGCTCACCACCGGGCTTGGGGACAGGGCTGTGCTATGGCGGCGCAGGCCCATTTGTGTTGAGTTCAGCTCCTTCATAGCCATCTCTCTCTGGGGTCTGCTGCTTCCTCCATCCAGGCTCCGTGTGCACCACCCGCACCAAGACAGGGGTGGGCTACCCCCAGCTGAGCGCTGTGATCGAGTGTGGGGATTCCGCCCATGGCCTGAAGGGGCACATCATCTCGGTAAGCCTCAGGGCCAGCGGGTGGGGAGCCCGGTCCTTGGCTGCCACGCACACAACCTGTGCACACTGTGGTTGGCATCCTGTGGGCGTGGGAATGAACTGGGCATGTTCATGGCAGTGGCATTCGGCCAAGGCACCTGCCCTGCTCCCCAGTTACTGTTCAGAGGGAGGTGGGCACATTTGTTAGTAACAATGTGAGGCGGCAACATGCCGGGAGTGTTGAGGAAATGAGAGGACCACTATCAGTTTGCAAGGCCTCCTGTAACAAGGTCCCCCGGACTCAGTGACTTAAACAAGAGAAGTTGATCATCTCACACTTCTGGAGGCATGGGTCTGAGATTAACATGCCGGCAAGACCCCGCAGGCTCTGGGGAGGGCGGGGTTCCACGCAGCTCCTTGTCTTGTGGCACTGAAACTCTAGTCTTCACACGGTGTCCTCCCTGTGTGTGTGTTTGTGTCCCGATTTCTCCTTTTTATACAGACATCACTCATTGGATTGGGGGTGCCCCTACTGCAGGGTGACCTCGTCGTAGCTAATCACATCTGCTGTGGGGTCGGCTGCTGCCAGCAAGTGGGTCACTGTTTACTGTAGTGAGAATGGATTTAGTGGCATTTTGGGGGCAGAAGTTAGGTTTATGTGGGTTAAGAAATGTATGGGAAGGAGGTGAGGGGAGGCAGAAGCAGGGATAACATTTTCATGAAGCTCCCAAAAGGATGACATGGTGGACTCAGCCACTAAATATTAAGGATTGAATGAATGAGAGCCAGATTAGTCTACCCTCAACTTATCTGTAATTCTTCATCTTTACTGGCATGGTGCCCGTTCAGACAGTTGAAGAAAATGATCTCTCTCCTTCTAGATGAGATTCTCAGGACCGATTATGTTGGATATAGTTGGACAAACTCAGGACTATGGCTGACAATTATGTGGATGGATGTTTTGTATACGTATGTGTGTGTGTGTTTGTGTTTTTTTTCATGTATTATGTATTAGTGGTGTATTTTTAGTGGTCCTATAACAATGATGACTTACTGAATATATTAAATTAAATTTTCAGATCTTTCCACTTGTACAGTTGCTAAGACTGGCTCCCACATTAAATAATTGGTTGGTCATTAAAAAAAACCCTCAAATGCATTAAATTACATACCTCTGTGGAATAGTACCTTGTTGATTTTGGCCTAGCATTTCAGCTTGAGGCTTGATTTCTGGACCTTCTTTGAGGGTGTAGTAATACTCTTTAAATACCCAGCAGGCACATGATCTCATTTGAGCCTTCCTGCAGCATTTGAGCATGCAGCCATTGCTTAACTGCATGTAACTTTTGCTAAGAACTGGAACTAGGATCCTGCTTCTTCCCTCGCAGTCCAGAGCATATTTAATGTGCTCCTTCTGAGTCTTCATCCAAGTTTTCATCCTTCCATCCTTTCAGCCAGTAAGTATTTATTGAGCATCTACTATGTGCTGGAAGTGGCATAAATGACTGAGGATTTACTGGTTGCTGACAGAGTTCTGAGGCTTTCCTTTAGTTCAATACCCTATCCTTTAATCTTTGCACAAGTGGACAAATTAATACCCATTTATTGAACATTCCACGTTTGCTGAGTCAGGTGATCCAAGTCCCTGGTGTCACCCACAGTGAGCGCCCTTCCCCAATATGTGGTGCTTCTTACATGCTCCCCGTGGCCTTATCTTGGGCTGGCTGCATGAGCACCACCAGAGAAGCTTTTTAAAATAGAAATTCCTGGACCCCATTGTAGCAAACCGGACTCTTCAGAGGTTGCCCGTCCAAAATCAACATAAGTCCATTACCTGATAGTGTTTACCATCAAGAGTCTTAATCAAAACTTAGATGCTTTGTCATATATATTCCTTGAGTGGCCACCATTTCCAAGTTAGTGGAGGTCAAACTGGTAATTTATTTATTTTTTTTACTTTATTATTATTTATTTATTTATTTATTTAATTTTTTTGAGAGGACATCTCTCATATTTATTGATCAAATGCTTGTTAACAACAATAAAATTCTGTATAGGGGACTCAATACACAATCATTAATCAACCCCAAACCTAATTCTGAACAGTCTCCAATCTTCTAAAGCATAACGAACAAGTTCTTACATGGTGAACAAATTCTTACAAAGTGAATAAGTTTTTACATGGTGAACAGCGCAAGGGCAGTCATCACAGAAACTTTCGGTTTTGATCACACATTATGAACTATAAACAATCAGGTCAAATATGAATATTCGTTTGACTTTTATACTTGATTTATATGTGAATCCCACATTTCTCCCTTATTATTATTATTATTATTATTTTTAATAAAATGCTGAAGTGGTAGGTAGATGCAAGATAAAGGTAGAAAACATAATTTAGTGCTGTAAGAGGGCAAATGTAGATGATCAGGTCTGTGCCTATAGACTAAGTATTAATCCAAGCTAGACAAGGGCAACAAAACATCCACGGATGCAGAAGATTTCTCTCAAAACAGGGGGGGTGAGGTTCTAAGCCTCACCTCTGTTGATCCCCAATTTCTCACCTGATGGCCCCCCTGCGACTGTGCCTGTCTTAGGTTGTTCCTCCCTTGAGGAATCTTACCCGTCTCTGGCTAACCAGTCATCTTCCGGGGCCATACAGGGAAATGTAAAGTTGGTAAGTGAGAGAGAAGCCATATTGTTTGCAAAGGTTAGCTTTTTACTTCTTTGCAGATTTATGCCCTGTGGCTTCTATGCCCAGCACTTGTCTCGAGGTATCTTTACCACCTGGAGGAATTATGATACTCGGTAAATTCGATATGAGGCACGAATTCTATTTAAGGGTTGTAATTAGGAAGGAAGAAGAAAAGCTATAGATGTAGCATATGAAGGAAACTTGGGAGGATTGATTATTTCTTTGACATATCTTCTTGTATAGTACCTTAAGTATGTATAGGTTTTAAACTACTAACTAATTTGCACACACATATTAACATAATAGGAATACGGTGACATAAACAAAGCAAATCTATAATTACCATCCATCTCCAGTGAAGCCAAGAAAACCATTTAGGCACCCTAGGCATTTGTGAAAATTTATCTATGATATGATGGATATTGTCCAACTGTACTTGAACCATCAGACAAATTAAAGCAGCCCATTTCTGGGATCTGTTCACATCCCATATGTTCTTTTAACCATAGATAGTCTATAGTCATGAGATTTTGGAGTGCTACAACTTGCACCCCTCCCAACTCCTGGTTGAGTTCCAACAGTACAGATCCGGTCAAATTCGTTGTCTCACTGTATGCACATGCCAGCCTAGACATCTCCCTCCTCATTCTTATGGCAAGTCCAGGAGACGGTGGGCTGGATGCAGCCACAACCGCAGCATCGTCCGGATCCCTGTGGAGGCTTTTTGATGATCATCCCCCGGCACGAGTCCTCCAGAGAGTGCTGATGCCGGAAGCTCCTCCTCATATCGTATCTTAGTTCATTTTCTGGGTATCCAAGCTAGGCCTTGATCTTCTGCGTAGAAACAAACAGACCCTTTGCCCACACTTTGACATGCCCTCTATACCACTGTGCAGAACTCATTGGAGGTCAGCACACAGTAACTGCTTTTTTTTTTTTTTTTAATTAAGAGAAAGGAATATTATCAGAAAAGAGTACCTCCATAGCTGATCATCTGACACCCTTTAAGTGATCAACATTAAGGATATTTAAAGCATGCGTTGATCTTTGATTTACCAATAGTTTTATCCTGTTAAGGAGTAATCCCCCTTTTCTTTCTTTCTTTCTTTTTTTTTTTTAAATTTTTAATCTACACTTACCTGAAGAATACTATGTTTACTATGCTCTCCCCTATATCAGGTCCCCCCTAACAACCACATTACGGTTACTGTCCATCAGCTTAGCAAAATGTGGTAGAGTCACTACTTGTCCTCTCTGTGTTGTGCAGCCCACCCTCCCCTTTCTCCCTCCCCCCCATGCATGCTAATCTTAATACCCCCCTTCTTCTTCCCCCCCCTTATCCCTCCCTGCCCACCCATCCTCCCCAGTTCCTTTCCCTTTGGTACCTGTTAGTCCATTTTTGGGTTCTGTAATTCTGCTGCTGTTTTGTTCCTTCAGTTTTTCCTTTGTTCCTATACTCCTCAGATGAGTGAAATCATTTGGTATTTCTCTTTCTCCGCTTGGCTTATTTCACTGAGCATAATACTCTCCAGCTCCATCCATGTTGCTGCAAATGGTTGGATTTTTCCACTTCTTATGGCTGAGTAGTATTCCATTGTGTATATGTACCACATCTTCTTTATCCATTCATCTACCGATGGACATTTAGGTTGCTTCCAATTCTTGGCTATTGTAAATAGTGCTGCGATAAACATAGGAGTGCATCTGTCTTTCTCAAACTTGATTGCTGCGTTCTTAGGGTAAATTCCTAGGAGTGGAATTCCTGGGTCAAATGGTAGGTCTGTTTTGAGCATTTTGATGCACCTCCATACTGCTTTCCACAATGGTTGAACTAATTTACATTCCCACCAGCAGTGTAGGAGGGTTCCCCTTTCTCCACAGCCTCGCCAACATTTGTTGTTGTTTGTCTTTTGGATGGCAGCTATCCTTACTGGTGTGAGGTGATACCTCATTGTAGTTTTAATTTGCATTTCTCTGATAATTAGCGATGTGGAGCATCTTTTCATGTGTCTCTTGGCCATCTGTATTTCTTTTTTGGAGAACTGTCTGTTCAGTTCCTCTGCCCATTTTTTAATTGGGTTATTTGTTTTTTGTTTGTTGAGGCGTGTGAGCTCTTTATATATTCTGGACGTCAAGCCTTTATCAGATCTGTCATTTTCAAATATATTCTCCCATACTGTAGGGTTCCTTTTTGTTCTATTGATGGTGTCTTTCGCTGTACAGAAGCTTTTCAGCTTAATGTAGTCCCACTTGCTCATTTTTGCTGTTGTTTTCCTTGCCCGGGGAGATATGTTCAAGAAGAGATCACTCATGTTTATGTCTAAGAG